AAATCACACGAAAAAAAGGAAAATAAAAGAAAAGCTCCCATCTAAGGATGTCATTTTTGGTACTGTTGAATTTTAGGAATAATATTTACATAAATAACATAAAATTAAATATATATTAAATATTAGTAAAAAAGTTTGAAATTTTACCAAGTTAATATAATCTAAGTCAAACTTAAATGCAACTTAAAACATATTAAGAAAATTCATTTAAAACGCAAATACATTTTTAAATATTATTTTTTAGATTTTTATTTAAATTTTAAAAACATTTTGAAAAATAGCTATCGGTGGGGAGGTAATATTTATAAGCTTAATTTTTAAAAATTAAGCTGGCTTTTCAATGAAATAAATGTACTTGAAATTATAAAAAGAAAAGTTGTGTTGAATTTGAATATTTAATTTTGTGGGTGGGAAAAGAAAGTGTAAATTTTCCGTGCCACGTAGCTGCTTTAATTGCAAAGGAAAAGATTGTGGAGTTCATAAAGAAAAGCCCTTCCACCACAAATAAAAAGGTAAATTCACCATCTCTAATCAATATTTGACACCTCTCCATTTCATGTTATAAAGATTTGTGACAATAACTCATAATCACCAAACACTACCATTTGCACCTTTCTTTTCATCAACTTATAATTGCCATTAATCTTCAAATTTTAATTTCATATAAATTAAAATTTTTGAATAAGTGAAATGTTTATCACATCTATTAGATGTGATTTGGCTGCATTAGGTGGTATGATATTTCAATAGACAAAAAATTTCAGCAATATAATCCTAACACGAGCATAGTTAAATGATTAATTATCTATTATTACTCTTTATGAAATTAGAAGTTCAAACTTTTACCCGCGTTTGTAATGCACTATTATCTACGTATAATGGAACTAATGTCTTGCTTTTCATAATAGTTAGGAAAAAAAGAATCATATTTTACTTTAAAGTAAAATGTAACAACTTGTATCAATTAGCTTATATGTTTCCATTTTCATCCTCTATTCAACTTTTGCTAATTCACCAACTAATTTTAAAATAAAAATGGATACAAAAATATCCAAAACTAACAAATCTAGTAAAATCAAGCTTTATACACGATTAAGTTTGATTAATATATAAAATCGGCTATTAAATAACTTCACCAAAACCCACAAATTTCTAAAACTAAGAAACCCACTCCAATTTCATTTTTTGTTTGAGTCCTATCAATTCCATACGAATATATGTTTTATATCATTCCACGTAATAATACTTTTTCAATAATCTTTCAAACGAAAATCTATTCGAGAGTAAAAATTGCAATACTTTAGTAGTTCTACTCTCAAAACTAAACCATTTCAGATTAATTAACTTCTTAGATTTACCCTTCTGGATTAAACAACTTTCAGATAAGTTGTGGCGAAAGAGTTAGAGCATAGCTTTAATCTTTCATAGGGATAAGGGAACTTCAAGAACTTCAAAATTTATAATGTTCGTTTGTTTCTAAAGCATAATGTTCAATTGATTAAGGTTTGAATTGCAGTTGCTGAATTTAAAAAGGGAAAATCACGATAAGAATCAAGATCAGAGGAAGTGGAACACCATGGCGTTAGCCTCACTGGGAATTCATCTTCTTCCAATTCCAGCTCCCCCAAATTCTTCCCACAACTCTCTACCCTTCACTTCGCGAAGAGCCCTAGTTTTTGCCCCATCTGCTTTGATGGCTTCCCTCCTCGCTTTCCCTCTTCCCACTCACGCCGCTCTCCCCCAAATACAGGCCCAGGTTCCACAAGAAGAAGATCGAGTCGTCGCTCTCTTTCAGGTCCCTCTCTTTCTCACTCACCATAACTGCAGAATTCTTCAGTTTCAATTGAAATTTAATCTTGCTTCTTTGTTTTCTGTTTTGCTCTGTTGGGTCCCAATTCCAAATGTAGGATGCTTCACCTTCTGTCGTTTACATTAAGGACCTTGAATTAGCTAAGAAACCCCAGAACTCCTCTGAAGAGGCCCTGCTCGTCGAGGATGAGAATGTCAAGGTCAAAGGGACTGGTTCGGGCTTTGTATGGGATAAATTTGGCCATATCGTATGCTCTTCTCTCCTTTAATTCTTACTTGCCTTCATTCTTTGTGACTGTCATTTTCATTTTATTGATTTTGGGTATCGGAAACATTTCTTTTTCTGTTCATTTCACAGAGGAATTTCATTAGGGCTTTGTGATTACTTGTGGCAGGTAACTAATTACCATGTTGTTTCCGCATTGGCTACTGATAACAGTGGATTGCAGCGTTGTAAGGTTTTGTTTATTTGTTACTGTCTTTTGAATTGTTATTTATGTCTTCATAATGGAAGATATATTATCAGTCTCTAGCCACTCCATTTGGCTTGCTTCTGTAGGTAAATTTAGTCGATGCTAAAGGAAATGGAATTTATAGGGAAGCAAAAATTGTAGGTTTTGATCCAGAGTATGATCTAGCTGTTCTCAAGGTATAGAACCAAACTTTTTTTTTTCTTTCCTAATTTTCTTTGAAGCTTCTTGTCTGCTCTGTCGTGTTCAAACTGGGTGCTGTCTACTCAATATAGAAGTTGAAATGATTTTGACATTTACAAAATCCCTCTTGAGATGGTGCCCATATATATTCTGTTTCGTTTTGTTCTAATTTAGCTCGAGACTCAAGGGGAATACCAGATTGAGTGAATTGTGTCTCGGTGATTCTCATCCTGTTTTCCGTTCCTTATGTGATGTGTGAAAGCAGCAGATTGGGAGGAGTGGAAAGTGAACCCTGTGAGCTATGGAGTGATGATGATAACATGTCATTTGTTTTCTATTCCATAAAACAGGCTTCACTGTTTGGACAATCTGTACTGTCAATCTCTTATACTATACCATGATTTGCTGAGTTTGAAGTTGCCATGTAACATCCAGGTGGAACTTGGAGGATGTGAACTAAAGCCCATCGTTCTCGGTACCTCTCGAAATTTACGTGTTGGTCAGAGCTGCTATGCCATTGGCAACCCTTTTGGTTATGAGAAGACACTAACAGCAGGGGTAAGACATCAATAATGTTACTTTCTCCATTTAATTCAGAGGAAACCCTCTTTGGATTTTCTATTTCAAAGCTAAAACTAAATTGGATAGTGAAAATACTTCTCTCTTATAATAAACATATTTCTCATAGGAGATATGATATCTCTCATCTCACACACATTTATGTTTTATTTATCAAAGACTGTGGATGAAGTAAGAGTTTTTCTAAGTGTCACTGTCAAGTTTCCTACTCATAGATTGATGGTGTTCTTTACCAAGAAACACCTGCTGAGAGTCAGCATAGTGGATTGACTAAATAATCGAGAACTGTAAATCATTCAGGGTTTGAATAGCAGGTGATCAGTGGATTGGGTAGAGAAATTCCATCACCAAATGGAAGGGCCATTCGGGGGGGTATTCAGACAGATGCTGCTATTAGTTCAGGTTCATGGTTCAACTACCTGAAATCAGATACCGCCATTTCTCAAACTTGTTTTTTCATGCCTTTTCTTCTGCCGCTTTCTAAAGATTTTCTACTTCCCATCATGTATATTGCAAGAGTGAGCCTTTTTTATTCTTGACACTAAAGCGCTGTTAAGCTCCTTGTACATATATGGCAGCTTATCTTGTTCCTTTCTAATCTGGCTTGATTTCATTACTGCCCCAGTCACCCGTAATAATCATCATCATATTTTAACTTTCCCACATTTTAATGCATTAGAGTTTTACAGGGAATTCAGGGGGGCCATTAATTGACTCCTACGGTCATGTAATTGGAGTCAACACAGCAACTTTCACTCGCAAAGGTAAAGGGCCTCAATTTCTTCATCTGCTTAGTTTGTCAGAGAAAAATATGGCTGATTTCTTTGCCTTAAAGCTTAGTAATTATCAAAGCTAACTCCATCTCTCTCTCTCTCTCTTTTATTTGCTACTTGAAAGAACATAAAATAGTAAAGAAAGAAAGAAAGGACTGCGGTTTTTTTGTGCCAATTCTATTCGAAGTTATATTATTCATCTTTGTTTATGCATTGCAGGAACTGGAATGTCTTCTGGTGTTAATTTTGCAATTCCAATAGACACAGTTGTACGTACGGTTCCATACCTTATTGTATACGGAACACCTTACAGTGAGAGATTTTGATAAAGTTTTACAATCTTTTCACAAGGGAACACAACCATTCATGCAACTCCAACTCCTCTCCAAGACCGTGGACTGCACCGTAAAATGACAATTTGCTAACATAAATGAATTTGCTTTCTTCACAAGTGTTATGATTCATATGAATTCTTTCTAGATCTTGGTCTGAGTTGTGAATAATTGTTTATTTATGGAATATTACTCTTCCTTCCCTCTGTTGGGTGGTTCAATCATTGAAAATATTATTGTTGTACAGATTCAAAGAGTTTTTACTCATCTGTTAAAACTTTCTAGCCTTAATTTCTGGAGTGTAGCTTTCCAAACTAGAAACAATTCAGTGTTTCTGTCTCCATCCAAATAGCATGCCATTGTTGAAGATTCCACTTTTATGCACTTGATTCAATGAATAAAGAAAAGGAGAATATATTCTGGTTATCCACAACCTTGTAAGAGAAAATTTTTTTTATCTCCTTATCCCATATTTCTACTGAAAAGAAATAATCATAAACACTCTCTTCAAACAAGTGTGCTAGTCCTTTTTTCTCCTTTCTTAACCCCAGGCTTAGTCTTGATTTCTAGACTGATAGCAGCGCTAATTGTTCCACAATGGTACTATCTACATGACAGGACACACGGCAAGAGTTGGGGATAAGAATAAGGCCGAGGCACCGTTGTTCCATCGGAGAAGGTGAGCTACGTCGAGTACTACGATACTCCACTGCATCTTGTAGAATGATATTTCCTTGCTTGTCAATGCAGTGAAAAGTTCCCAGGAAAAATCTTCCATCTTTAATGCCTATGAGCATTCGGCGAAACAGTAGCTTTCTCACCTTTGCTATGCAATCTAAACTGCCCGGATTAGACTCGACATTGCTCCCAACCTGAACCCTGGGTCCCTCTGATTCTTGTTCCATGTATGGTTCGATTGATCCCTGTAAGTGGGGAAGGTTGTTGAATATAGTTGATGAACAGGACCAAGTATACGATCAGAATTGCAACTTAAATCAGTATGACAACTCAATTAGTGGAAAACAAATGGGACGAAAACCGTCCTAAAGAAATATATGAAGATTTTTTGAAAAAGGGAAAAAATGAAAGCCAGTAAAAGAGAGATTAATGTAAACCATGAACTCTTTACTAACATCCAATAGACACATAATACACTCCAAGAGGAGAGCAGCCTGTATAACATCAGCAATGAAGGAAAAACTAATGGAAGGAAAGATCTGATCTTAATAAAGCAACTCCATTATAACAAACAAAGTTCTCAAAATCTGTACCGCAGGCTTCGCCATAGGAACAATCCCCATTAGAGGAACTGCCACATAAAAGGGCATATGAAAACGACTGAGAATGGATGGAAATGATGATAACTTTACCAGAAAACATGTTAAAAGAGATCTAACCCACCTCAATTATCTAGTTATCTCAATAAACAAAACCAACACTTTGGAGCGTATGAACTGAGCAAAGAGTCCAGCATACAGCTGAGAATAGCTATTTCTGTTAAAAGAATGTCTCTCATGATAATCATCAGAGATGATAATTGATAATGCAGTGAGGACCTGTAGGAGGTACAGAGGGAGGAAAGTGAAGGAACTACTCAACTGCACTAGCGCTCTTCGTAAATCTGACTCTTTATGCGTGAGAGTTTCAACAAGTATAGGGTAAAGCATGAACACAATTTCCTTTAAGCTAGAGGAAATAGTTAAAAATGGTTATCTTATGGCAGCGGTTTATAGAGCAATTCTGAGTAAGGTATTAGAATCCACAATCACTAGCAACCTTCAATAATCTAGTAAAGCAACTGCCAAAACTTAAACCCTTAATCTCAAAGCTAATTTATCAAATTCCCTTCATCCATTGGGCACTCGGACTCGGAGACCACTTAATTTTTAACCTAACATTCAGCTAATTCATGTTCGAACCTAGAAGAAACCCAATAATAATCAGATGGCAGTGAGAAAAATGACTAATTTCGAATCACCTCGAAGGCTCGAAGATAAAAATTTGCTTGGCTTATTAAATCCGATTAGAAAGATAAATCAATCCAGCACCCAATAGGGCTATCGATAGTACGGATTTTACAGAGAAGAATCGTGGGGTATAAAATTTAAGCAAATATTAGCATTAAAACAGGGGAATTAATAAAGATAAAAAGCTCAAGAATCGTACCTTCCCGCAGTAGAAAGAGAGGCTAAGAGCTAAATTGGCGGGCGATTGCAATTCTTGGCTTCTCGTAGTCGCCGCTGATGAGAGTGGAGGCCGATCCAAATAAATGAAAATTTACTATTAAAAAAAAACTATTTTTAAGGGGGGAAAAGGGGGAAACAAATGCAAATTATTTCACTCTTTTGTTAAATTATTTTTCTTTTTTGTCAAATCAGCAAAGTACAATAAACTATTTCACTTCTACATCAATTAATCGTTAGTCAATTACAGTCGAACAAGTTTATAGACCATTTAAAATCCTTTTGCAAAATCCTAGGATTAAAATATATTTCCCCCTTTTTTTTTTTGCTTTCTTAGTAAAAAAAATCCCAGTCATTGGTATGAGTGGATTTTATATTTTATTGATATTTGTTTAATAAATTATTGAAAATGATTGAAGAAACTTTGAAATCTATTATAAATTATTAATAATGCTAAGCTATATAAAATTGATTTCAACCAATCACCAATTTTTTAGTTCAAATTATCAACTTTTAGAAGGGTATTGGATGCCTTATCAATTCATCACTTGTATTGTAGTCAATTTATCATGTAAATTTGTGATATACTAAAGTAGCATATATAACCTTTTAAGATTAAGATACCTATCTCTGACCAGAAGGTCGTGAGTTCGAACCTCTACCCCTCACAATGTTGTATTCAAGAAAAAAAAGTTGCATATATAACGTTTTTTTATTAGTTAAATTAAAGGTTAGTCCATGAATTTTTAAATTTGTATATAATAGGTCTATAAACTTTAAAAAATATATGATATATCTCTTTAACTTTATATTTTGTGTTTAATAGATGAACCTTCAATTTTATATCTAATAAATCATTGGCCTGATTGACATTTTCTAAAATTCATTGACTTGTTAGATATAAAATTGAAAGTTTTTTTTTAAATGAAAAGCACAAGATAAAAAATTTATGACTCTATTAGGCATAAAAATTTATTTTTGTGTCTAATAGATCCATTAATTTTAAAAATTATTAATATATTAGAGATTTATTAGGCACTAAATAGATTGTTTAAGAATCTATTAGACACAATCCTGAAATTTATTGATTAAACTTGTAATTTAATCTAAGTTAAAAAATTGATGGTTAGAAATTGAACTTTGACCATTTAAATAAATGATTAACATATTAAATTCATAAGAGAAAAATTATTGACATGTTTTTGGAAAAAAATACATTTTCGGTTGGTAGGGTTTGAGCTAAGTGTGTATACTATCTTTGAGTTTTAGACTTTTTAAAGTTAGATAAATTGTTCTATCCACACTTGAGTTCGTCGTATCCAACAAATTATAGTCTGCTACCCGTATATATTATTTGTGAATGTGAGTCGGGAATAAAATCAAGGAGCACATTTTCTTGCTCAAAAATCAATTGGTGCGGATGCCCCTATGTTTTGACTCTTTGAATTTTTCCTTTGGCTTTGTTTCGAGTGTCAAAATACATCAACTTATCGTTAGTCAATTAATGATCCAACAAATTTATAGATACTTTAGAATTATTTTACAAACCCCATAAATAAAAAATATATCTCTTCTAAAACTCTAGGGATCAAATATACATCCATCTCAAACCGTGGATCAAAATATATTTTTCCTGTATATATATTTTTCTAATAATCTACTTTTGCTTTCTTAGTAAAAAAATCCCAGTCACTGGTATGATCAGTAGTGGATTTTATATCTTGTTGATATTTGTTTAATAAATTATTGAAAATGATTGAAGAAATTTTGAAATCTATTATAAATTATCAACAATGTTAAGCTGTATAAAATTGCTTTCAATCAATCACCAATTATCAACTTTTGTAAGGGTATTGGATGCCTCATCAATCCATCACTTGTATTTGTAGTCAATTTATCAGGTAAATTTGTGATATGCTAAAGTGGCATATACAAAGTTATGTCAAGTTTTCTTTTCTTTAGGTTAGGCCACGATCTTTCAAATTCATATGTAATAGATATATGAACTTTAAAAAATATTTGATGTATCTTTTAACTTTATATTTGTCGTTTACTAGATGAACTTTCAATTTTCTAAAATTCACTAACTTATTGGATACAATATTGAAAGGTGTGTTTTTTTTCCTTAAAAGAAAAGCACAAATTTGAAAATTGGATTCTACTCGTCACAAAATTCATTTTAATGTTTAATAGATCTATTAATTTTAAAAATTTTGAATATGTCATTAAATTGAAAGTATAAAAATCTATACCACATGATTAAACTTGTAATTTAATCGCTTAAGTTAAAAAATTGATAGGTAGAAATTGAACTTTGACAATTTGATCAACATATTAATTTTTGTAAAAGAAGATTATGGACATACATTTTTTGAAAAGAAAAAATACATTTTTGGTTGGCGAGGTTAGCTCTATCTTTGAGTTTTAGTCCTTGAGGTTGGATAAATTGTTTTATCCACACTTGAATCGGTGATATAAAAGTCGATGTGGCAGTTACTTGCTAAATTAATTGCTAACTTGGCCAATTATATTAAATTTATAGGTGACTAGACCATATGACGTGGTGATCATCTCATTCATTCTTATTTATTCTCTATTGTTTTTCTTTCTTCATTTTCTCTCTCATTTCTTTCTTCCATCATCCTTCTCCTCTTTTGACAAAGCTACATCGGTTGTCTCTCATTCCTTATTATTGCTACATCTCTGCTGCAAATGTCACTTCAAAGACCATAAATTTAAAACTTCACCATTCAATAATGTATGCATTAACTAATTAAAACTCGATTGATACATGTCATAGTATTATTCGATTTAGATAATTATAATTATATATAATTAATTTAATATCTAGAAATGTAATAATATTTAACTTTAATCTTTAAAATTTTTAAAACGTATATTTAAATTCCCGAAGTTTGAAAATTTTTTAATACTCTATTTTTTATGTTTGTGGTCAATAAACTAATCATGTCATTGTTTAACATCTCCTGCTAGCTTTCATTAGATTTAACCATTTCTCGAACTTCAATAATTAAAATGAATTTTAATAATCAAAATGAATCATTTTCTATTATTTTAAGTAATCACAATTTGAAGATGGAACTATATAGATTAAAAAAACACAAATAAACCAGAAATTATAAACATTCATCACGATTCTACGGAGAAATAAATAAATAAAGATTTGTTCTTTGACAAACATTTGCAGTTAGAAATCAATATATAGAATGATAAATATTGGTTGATTCATTTGCTAATTTTAAGATTCCTATAAAGTTGCTGCCTGGTGCTCGTTTCTTGAATACCGCGCCGCGTCACGGGCTGTGTGTCCAATACGAATTCTTTTCGGGGCTAAATTATCGGCCGTTGTTGTCATCCTGCGATGTCACGACAAACGAGCAACAGTCTACAGCCTGAAACCACTGGGATTCTTAATTTCAAGAGAAAGGTTTATCATTTCAATCGCTTAAGAGATATTTTTAACCTACTTCAGTCCATTTCAGGAAAACATACCGTATCCGTATAAAAGGCTTTATCTTAGAATTTGGGATTTTGATATTTCGCCCTGCGGAGGCTGTGAGGTGAAACCCAGAAGGGAATTTGTCTGAGATTTCAAGATTTCGTGAAAAACCCCTTCGTCAATGGCGTCCAGGAGGCAGTTGCAGTGTTTGGTAAGCCGGGTTTGCAGGGGAAGGAGGCCATACTCTACGGTCCCTGAAAGCAGCGCCTCTTCTTTTCCTGCCTCTGAGAAGCTCATTGACCTGGAAAAAGATCACAGTGCCCATAAGTGAGCTCCACATCTCATGTGTTTGATTGTGTTGTTTCCTCCGCTCAACTCTTGCTCTTTATCTTGAATTGAAGGTTGATGTGGGCTTTGGATTTGCTATGCTGTGTAGTCTGTCGTTTTCTGTTGTTCTAGCTTATGGGCTCTCTCTTTCTTTCTCTTCGTCTCTCCCTCTCTCTCATTTTAATGGTGACATGCTTAGTCCTTGGTGTCAATCATTTTGCGAAATTGATATTTACAAGAGTGGGTTTGATGTTTAAATTATTGACTAGATAAAAAGTTTTTGTAGTCCTTATTTTTATTTCTGGTACTAATCAAATGGCTGGAGTCCTGTATCAGGCATTAGTTTAGATGCCTAAATCAAAAGCCTTGAGTTTGCTGTTTGTGTTCATTTCTCCCTTAATAAGTGGCTTGTAGATTGTCTATTATTATGTTATTTGTTGGTAGCTTTATGTAAGATGCCCAAAATTGTGACAGTTTTAGTTGTGGGTGTACTTCTTTATGTTGATTCTGCCCTTATTGGTGGCCACTTTGTGATGTTGCAGCTACCACCCAATTCCAGTTGTATTCTCTGAAGCCAAGGGATCATCAATATGGGACCCCGAGGGTAAGAGATATCTGGATTTTCTAGCAGCTTATTCTGCTGTCAACCAGGTATTCGAGTGTAATTAGTTTTCATGCAGTATGTGAACTAAATGTGAAAGTTATTTGAATGGTGTATGTGTTTCCTCCTTTCATCACAGAGCAAATGGGACAGGTTTTGCTAAAAAAATTTGTTCAAATGTGTTCATTTCTCTTAACGTTGATTTTAATTTTTAGCGATCATTTCTAAGTGACTTGTTTGACTATTTATCATATGTTATAATCAACTAACTTATTGGCTTTTGCCTGTAGGGACATTGTCATCCAAAGATCGTCAAAGCATTCCAAGAACAAGCAGAGAAACTCACTCTTAGCTCTCGAGCCTTCCATAATGATAGATTTCCCCCATTTGCCGAGTATTTAACAAAAATTTTTGGCTATGATATGGTGCTTCCAATGAACACTGGTGCTGAAGGAGTGGAGACTGCTTTGAAGTTGGCAAGGAAATGGGGTTACAAGAAGAAGAAAATCCCCAAAGATGAAGTATGGTCTCAAGAATTTTTTATTTATGGTTTATATCACGGTCTTTAAATTTTTTAGGTTTCTCTGTAATCCATTTTACTTTGGAACATTAGGCATATTGACCTTCATAGCAGTGCAGACTTAGTTGCTGTTAAGTGCACATGGGTGCTGTAAGGAGCTTAATAAACTACTTGTCTTAAAATTTTAAAGTAAGACTATAGTGATAAGTGTTAGGGCATATTGTTATCCTAATAAGATCATAACTTATCCTCAAAGTTTGTCATGATTAAATGACCTTTGAAGTTATATCTTCTCTCACGTGTGCAGGCTATCATTGTTTCATGTTGTGGATGCTTTCATGGCCGTACGTTGGCTGTTATTTCCATGAGCTGCGACAATGAAGCGACCCGTGAATTTGGGCCATTGTTGCCTGGACATCTTAAAGTCGATTTTGGTGATGCAGTTGCCCTTGAGAAAATCTTTAAAGGTTGAAGTGCATATTGTCCCAAGACATGGTTCCCATCATCTTTGTGATTTACATTCAAGAATTTTGTTACTAAAATAATTATAAAGGAGACATATCGTTCATGTATTTTCACTACAAAACAATCATTTATATTGTGTTTGTTTCACTTGGTAATTATAGGGATTTGTATTTGGCATTGGTCTAACTTATTGTCTGTCATTTTCATGCGAGTGCAGAATACGGAGACCGAATAGCTGGATTTTTGTTTGAGCCCATTCAAGGAGAGGCTGGGGTATGAATGACTGGATCTAATCTCTTTTTATATTATGGAGGTTGATTGCTAAATGTGCTCGGGGCCATTTATATTTGAGTTTTCACTAGCTACAGATAATAATGGATTAGAAAGATCTTACATTCTGTAGAACCAAAACCATATGCCATTAGCCCATTACAAAATTTATCTTTTACGACTTGGATTTATGAAGGGTCCCTTTCTACATTTTTTCTGTATCTGCTCTGCCTCTCTCTCTCTCTCGTGGTTGTTGAAGAATGAGGATTGCTTCCTAATTTATTGACTCTTACAGTTTCCTTTCTGAATTCTGAATCATTTCTGTGATTATATTTGATGTTATTTTAGGTTATAATTCCCCCTGATGGTTACTTGAAAGCTGTACGAGATCTTTGCACAAAGTATAATATCTTGATGATTGCTGATGAAATACAATCTGGCTTAGCAAGGTCAGGGAAATTATTGGCTTGTGATTGGGAAAATGTCAGACCAGATTTAGTGGTATTGCTCTCTCTCTCTCTCTCTCTCTCTCTCTCTCTAATTTTCTGTCTCACGTTCAGTATTTTCTCTATAATCCATATGATGGGACTTCTTTTTATTTTCTAGTTTGCTCTCATGGAGGTCTGTAATATAAAAAAAAAATACCATGGATTTCAATATGGTAGAGGATGGTTGATCAACATTCCTCATTTCGAAATGATGTAATAAATTGTTGTGTTGTCATTCCAAGAGTACGAAATGCATTTAGTTTGTTTCATTCTAGTGTTGGATTACTTGTAGAAACAATATCCAATTGGCTTCTTTTGGTTTATATTGGCCTAAAATACATTAGATCTCCCAATTTGCTCTTGAAGCTTTTAGTTATTGGAATAATGAAAAACCTTCCAACTATATAGGCATGGTCAGCTTTCTAACCCCCTGCCCCTTCTTTGTGAAAAAAGTTTCCAATTCTTCCCAAATTTACGTTTATTTATTTACTTTAGCCAATTTGTTTCTTATGTAAGTTATCCTTTCAGAATATGAAAGTACATTTGGTTCAAGCTTGTTTGACTTTAAGAATAAATATCATGAGTGGGAAGCTTCTTGCTACAACATGCTGTAACATATTTTACCAGTCTACCTAAATCTTGAAGGATTCTGTAGTAATATATTTGCATAGTTCACGGCAGTTTAATTTTAACATTATCTCCTAAATTAGATTCTTGTTTCCCTTATATTCAATATGTCTTGACCCTTTATTTTAATTTTTCTAGGTGAAGATATAAACGTAGCATTTAAATGATTGTTAATAGTCTAATTCAACAAGTAGAGAATTATTATTATTATTTTTATAAGAAACCGAGCTGTCGTTCAGAAACATGAAAGGATATAAAGGGACATACAAAAAACAAGCCCAACAAAAGGAGAACTGCCTAAGAGAAGGGACCCCAATCAAAAGAATACACCTAACTGGTAATTACAAATGGCCTTAGAAACCGATACCTTTAAGAGGTATTAAATCTAACTAAATCTCAAATTTCCTCCCAAAACCTCTCCACCCTCAAAAAATTCTATTATTCCTCTGAATCCAAATACCTCACAAAATTGCAAAAAAATAAGCTTGACACAACAAGACCTCTCTATCTCGAAAGGGGGGGCAAAGCAATTCAACAAGTAGAGAATTGGTGCTGCTGAAGTTGGTTTCAATTTTGTTTGCCATGTTTCGAGTATAATATGAATGTCCATAGATTTGAGTAAAAGTTGGGTGCAATTTCAGACTTTGCTGTTGTATTTGGTATAAGATGCCATAAATTTAGAGGGATATCAGTTGATGCTGGTATCAATTGATGCTTATTTATTAATATGGTTATACCCTAATGTTTTCCTTCCCTAATGTTTTCCTTAGTACTTGAATTTCTTCTACAAATAAACTTCTACATGACTGTTCATTTCAGATACTGGGAAAAGCATTGGGTGGTGGAGTAATACCTGTGAGTGCTGTTCTTGCTGACAAAGATGTAATGCTTTGTATCCAACCTGGGGAGCACGGGAGGTGTGTAACTTGTGTTCAGATTTATAAAATAGACTCTTTTTGGTTTTCGCCTAACTGGTGACTTGTAATCTCCAATTATCCTTAAGGTTCAGGTGTTTCCTTTCCTTCCAAGGAGGCTGATTTTCAGCAACTAACCAGAACAAATCTTAGGGGCCCTAGATCCATAATCATAATCTGGGTTGGGATTAAAACTGTTGAGCAGAGGGAACATCTGTGTCATTTACAGGCCTCCTATAATTCAGGACCCAATTGAAATTCTCTACACCTAACACTTCCTTAACTGCTTTGCTTTTACTTTAAGCTAAATTGTATATTCTGGGAAAAACTGCATTTAGAGAGGCTAAGAAGCCAACTAAAAATAGCCAGAATTTTGTATGCAATCCATCCCGTTATTCGACTTAAGAAACTGTTTCCTTGTTATCTCTGTTTTGTACTGTCCCATGTATTCTTCGCTCTGTATTGAAGTTGTTCTTTTTATAATTTTTTTTTTGAAACTGTTGTGGTGATGTCAAGTTAACACTGACCTTACTGTTAATATCACTATGCACAGTACTTTTGGAGGAAATCCATTGGGAAGTGCAGTTGCTATTGCATCACTCGACGTGATCAAAGATGAGAAACTTGCTGAAAGGTATGATGAATTGTTGCCTATTTTTTCTCTTTATCAGTTCTCAAAGGGGAAAATATCTGTAGATTGAGGCCATAGAACTACTTTCCAGATGTAGAAACAGCTGAGTCAGAGAACAACATTTAGTTTCTAAACTAGGACTTGAGTAGGGCCTTGATACTGCAAGTATACTTTCCAGATATATTCGTCATTTTCGTTGCTCTCTTTTTATCTTATTGATATAATAAAATGTTGAACACTGGTTTCCATACGATTTACAGATCAGCTCAGTTAGGAGAGGAGCTTAGAAATCAACTAGTCAAAGTTCAGGAACGATTCCCGGAATACATCAAGGACGTTCGAGGTAGAGGTTTATTCAATGCTGTGGAGCTCAAAGGCAAAGCTTTGTCTCCTGTTTCTGCATATGATATCTGCATGAAGTTGAAGGAGAGGGGAGTTCTTGCTAAGCCAACACATGATACTATTATTCGATTAACTCCTCCACTCTCCATAAGGTATGAAAAATATTACAATTAACCGTTTTCTTCTTGCTGGTACTCAGCCTGATAAAAGTTTACATATATAAATTGTAAAAAGAAAAAAAGAATTAGAACTGAGTACGAAGTACTGAAGTAGGATGCTTAGTTGCAGTGCTATTATATTGCCTTTATATTGTTTGATCGAATGTTCTCTTATTCCCAGTGACCTGTTGTTCATCTAGCACTAGGTCCATTTTTTGTTGCTGTAGATATGAAATAATTAAAATCATCATCTTTTCACCTAAGCACTATGATTTGAAAGCTTTGAAAAGTTATTTTTTTTTGGGGGGGGTAGGGAAAGAAGTAAAGAGAGAGAAAGTACAAGAGGGAGCTGGCTATTTAGACACCTTCAAGGCCAGAACTTGGACTTGGTCGTGCAGAAAGGAAGAAGCCAGAAGCACGGATTTGCAAGATGAGCAAAGAAGTCGCCTCATGTTTGGACCTACTGGCCAAGAGATAGTCTTGGACAGGCAGTTTCTATGGAGCATAGGCCTTCCAAAAGGGGAGAGAGAAAACTCGAAGCGGGAGTTGGCACTTTGAGCGCCTTCAGGAAGCCGGGAACTTGGACTTGGTCATGGAGAATGGAAGATCCTTCCGGGGGTGCTAGAGGCTAATTTGAAAGTCTTGGATTAGACAATTTCTATGGAGCATAGGCCTCCCAAAAGGAGAGAGAGAGAACTCAAAGAGGGAGATGGCGCTTTGAACACCCTCAAGAAGACGGAAACTTGGACTTGGTCATGGAGTAAGGAAAGACGCTTCCGGGGTGTTTCAGGCAAACGGGAAAGAAGTAAGGGAGAGAGAACTCAAGAGGCAGGCACCATCAAGAAAACCCAAAGAGAGAGGGGGGGGAGTTGAGTTGGCGCTTTGAGCGCCTACAAGAAGACGGGAACTTGGAATCGGTCATGGAGTAGGGAAGACGCTGGGGGAGTTACAAGCAAATGGGGAAAGAAGCAGCGAGAGAGAGGCGCCATTGAGAACCGAAGAACAAGCTGAATAATCTCAATAATCACAATAATAGCATTAACAATTTCTTAACATAATTGAAAATGATGAACAACATTAGTTCTGTTGTGTCTCATATATTGAATGTGTGTTCTGATCATAAGCATTTCTGCAGTTGGGATGAGCTGAAAGAAGGGTCAAAGGCACTGAATGATGTGATGGAACATGATCTTCCACAGCTGCTCAAGGAAAAGCCACACAATGCTTCCTCAACTCATTCCAGTTCCAACATATGTGATCGCTGTGGAAGAAACCTGTATGCCTCTGAAGATTAAAATCTCTCAACTGCTCTTTCCCTCCATCACAAGCCAATAAAAAATGGGGTTTCTTTCAACTTTTCTTAAACATTATGTATTGTATTCTGCCACTCTGGATTGCCATTTAAAGAAAGATTGAGGACTAAAGTGGAATATTTACAAGTACGTGCCTAAAAGTATAGGGGTTATTGTGCACTCGCAATTATTATAAATTCAGGAAAAACAATATGAATTATTCTAGAAAATAGGTATCTATGAAAATAAACTAAAATAAAATTAGAAAAGATTACTTTCATATCCAATTGAACAAAACAGCGCAAGGAAAACCAAAATGATTTAAGGCGCAATTGTAAATCTTTTTGTATTAACAAATAAAAGAGGATAAATTAAATCCACATAGATTTAAGATTAAGATATTGTTTCTGTTCCTATACTTCTAACTTTACTATCAATCATTTTAATCTCACTTTTGAAACGTTTATTTGATCTTTAATATAACACTACATTTAATATATTTCTTGAAATGTAGTTTTAAATTTATATTAAAACGTTTTCTTGGGATATAAAACTTATGTTAAAATTATGCAAACACATATCAAAATAACAACTTTTTAAAAGTGTGAATGGGACAAGAGTAGAATAAAAATTTTAAAAGTAAATAAATTAAAATTAAAAATACACGCAATGAAATAATATTTGAACATGGATTTAATGAATTCAGGTTCAGTCACATCACCATCCATCAATAAAATAAGGTAAAAATAAAATGAACACCATATTATAAGTTAACAAGTTAAATGATAAGTACTTGTCAAACTTAATTCCAACTTGGGTTTAGAATTAGAGAGGATCTTGGCCAATAGCCTATCACTTAACCTTTCAAATCATTGAGAAATTTATGCAAATGGAGATTTTTATAATATTAAAAAAAATAAAATGGAGTATATAATATGAGAGACATGGACATTTTATACACTAAAAGGAGGGACAAATTAGAGACACAATAATTAGAAGCTTTTGGTGGTTGTGCAATTATAAAGCCAGGACAGCTTCTTATATTTTACAACATTTAATTTAAATAGAGCTAGGGATTAGCTATCCTAACAAAATATTTAGAAACTCTCTCTTTTTTTTCATTATTAAAAAAAAAATATTGTGGGTCATATCCTAGAAATTTCTAATGAATTGTTAGCTGTATTACATTAATGTATGTTGACATTTATTCCAAAAAAAAAAAAAAAGAGCTTAGCTGTTTTAGTATCATATTTGGCCAATCATTTTCCATTTTGGATTTATTTTTATGTAAATAAGTGTCAAATTCTCCTTGCTATATATCTCAAAGCATAAATATTTAGAATTTTATTCTTGGTGTTATCTCTTTATTTATTTATTTAATCAAGTTGATGAATAATTTAAATTATGTTATGACATAAGTGGAATAAGAGTATTTTATTTTTTGTTGGTTAATATTTTTCTTTATTGCCATGACATATTTTGAGTGTTTATTCTTGATTAAATATCAAATAGTATTTTATTTATTAAATGAAGTTATTCTCCCCCTCCAAAATCATAGATTTAGGAACAAATTTTACAAGTTTAAAATTCTTTAAATTAATTAAAAAAAATAGCTTTCTAAACAACTCATAATCTTCATTTCATAATTCGCAATCAGTTATTGAATCAAATCAAGATTATTGATATAAATATTCCAAAACAACTTTTAAGACGTTGAATCATCTAACAAAAAAAAATTATCAAATCAAATGAAATGACATATTCTTATATACGCAGTTCGGAAGACCTATAAAATAAAAAAATTTTGAACTTTCGTTTTTTTCCTCTTCACCCCCTCACTTCCTCAAAATTACTTGAATTGCCCAAGTCCAAATCTAACAAAAAAATTTTTTTTTTAAAAATGAAATGGGGCAGCATGAGATCATCAAATATCACATGGACACATTTTTGTTTCACATGTTGTTATGGTCTTCTTCCCTCTTTAGGGCATAGGGCTTAGGGCATTTGATTTGATATAATTTAATGCAATTACTAAAAGAGACATTTCTCCTATGGAATCCAATCCAACCTTCCTTCCCACTTGTTCCATTAAAGTATTATATGGATTCCTAAAGTTATTTATTCTTTATCCTTTCCTTTTTCCCTTTTTAGATTTACATTCCCTTTTTCTTTTTCCCTTTGATTCTTAACTTTGGGAATTGTTTTAGAGGCTATAATACAATTGAGTGAAGAATAATTTGGGCTATAGCACCTACATTGTATTTATTTAGCTGAATAATTTTTCGAAATGATTTAAATTAGTTGGATCATATCAGTACGAAATAGAGAGATATTATGCCGACATTAACTTAATCTATACATATACTAATTTTTGTTCTTGTCATCATTCTCACATGATATGACTCTCCACCCATTATTAACGCCATTGCTATATCTAAAATTTTCTATCTCTGTTTTTAATTATTTATTTCATATTTAAAAAAAAAGGCACAACTTTTTTTTTTCTGGGTGGGAGTGTCTCTAAGCTACCTTAAACACAACTTGAGTAATCTCACAAGATAACATTTGATGATCATGAAACATGTTGGATTTTAATATCCTAGAAGAATAAGGGGCGACATAAGATTTAAGTTCAAGTTTCAAAAATCTCTTTATTATTAATTTTTTTACTTACTCCAATAACCATTAACCATGGCTGTTGGAATGGTCATATGAGAGATTTAACGTGATAATTTTAGTAATACATGTTTGAATAAGGAGTTATACCCCACAAATGGAAAGTAATTTCAAACTTGGACATGCTAAACAAGAAATTCCGTCTCTTCACAACGATTCGTGCTAGTTTATTCAAATAATACATCTCTCACGAGTTCAAAAAAGTACTCCAAGCAAAGTAACATTAGTCTTTATCAAAAACATCAAAATCTTTGTAAAATGAAACTATATGATATTCAAATTATTTGATTTGAATCATAAATTTGGGAAAAGAAAAAGAAGGCATCCATATTCAAAGAACTAAACATTAAATTTTGGAGATTGCTATGATCCCATGAATCGTTTGTATGTGATTGTACGGTCAATCCATACGGAATTCGGTTCACAATGTATAATTTTGTACTTCTCTTCCCAATTCTTTTTCAATTATTATTTACACATTTTCTTTTTTTAATTGCTTCCTAGACATGGCACGTGCCAAAAACACTGTTCTACTTTTTAATACATCATTTATTAATTACTTTTAAATTTTAAATTTTTTTTAGATCTAATCCAATCAACCTTCATGGGTGATAATTGATACCAAGATGGGATTCATCATCCACTCCTTCAATAATTTTTCTTATGCATTTATTTATTCACGCGCTATGCTTTAATTACATCTTAAATTATATTTAAATTTTCTAATTACATTAAAACAAACAAATATAGGACTTTTATTAATCAAACTCCTACGATGTGTAATCAAATGTTGAGTCCTCTCTTCTTATTCGTGTATATAGTCAAGTTTTTGGTCTAATCAAAGAAAAGTAGGGCTTGATATTTGAAAGACTTCTTATCACGTAGGAAAATTTGCAAAATTTTAGAAAAAAAGGAAAATGGGGTCTCCATTCTCATAACAAGTGTCGGCATTGGGGTTTGGTTAAGAGATAATTTAAGTACAATGGGGAGTATTAAGAAAGGAGATTAAAAAGTTTAATGTCCGTACCAATAAATATATATATAAATATGAAGCAAAATGTTGATGCTTCATTTATGAACCAACCTCTTCTTTGTCCCACTTTCTTTTAATGCCTCTTTCTCTCTCTCTCATTTGGTACCATATCAGTGTACTTTAGTTACCTTCATTTCATTTTTATTAATTTTCCTTTTCCTTATTCTAATGTACACGTATTGTAAATATTATGTTCCAAGTATAATGGAGAATTTTTCATACTACTCTCGTTTATTGTTTGCCAAATCAGCATCTATTTAAGAATGATATAAGATCCTCGTAGTACTGAGGCTAAAAGTTACTAATAAAGATATGGTCTTCTTCTCTGATAATTGAGTGAATAGCAAGTATCTAAAATTAAGCGAAGTGAGTAGAACTAAGAGAAATTTGGTGATGGTTTTGAACATATTTACGAGGAGGTTGATAGAATATTAACGGCACATGATTGGTGTTTTTAGTATTGATTATTGTAAATTTAATTATGAAGATGGTGCTTTCAAGTAGCAAGTGATAAAATTTAAAAAGGAATTAATTAAAGATAGGTCCCCTTTGTAGACCAGTTGGGCCAACCCAACCCAACTTGGTTATGACCCTAAACCCACCACACCAAATTCATGCAGTAGTTGCCCCCACCTTAACATCCCATCTTTCTCTATTTTCTTTATTTTTCTTTTCACACATAATAGTTTCCAGTTTGTATTAATTAATGATGAAATTTTGGGATTGGAAATAATCAATACATTCTTGATTTGATGTGACCATTATAAACCTTTCTTCAGGTTGGTTCGGGTGGACTAACTTGATCAAATTTAGTCGACTAAATTAGGTGGGTCCGACTTGATCGACTTAACTTGGGTGGTTTGACCCACGTCGCTTCCTTAACCTCACTCTAGGTGTATCTAGTACGGTAATTTGATCCGTAACATAATTGAAATTGGAAATAAATCTTATTGTTTTTTACATTTACGACCATAAAATCAAAGGTTTATATTATCATTTATAATGTAGAAAATTAGGTAGAAAAAGGGGGAAAATAAAGCACAGAATTATTAAATTAGTGATAAGAGTTGTTTGTCCTATTAATTAAAAAGATAGAACTACAGATTAAAGATGATTCTTTGTTTGGCTGCATCCATACCTTTTTCTTTTACCCAAAAAAGAAAGTGAACATAATTTGGTGACAGAAAGATTTAACATTTTTGAATAATAGATAGATAGGGGTACAATTTGAATTTTATTTTTTTTTTAAAATACTTACCATATTGGTTGAATTAGTTCAATCAGATTGATTAATACATGTACATCTTTTTTTTTTCTTTTTTTTTTTTTGATAAAAACATGTACATCTTTTTTTCTTGAAAAAGATGCAAAATAATTATTTGATTTGATATTGAAACAAGAATAGATAAACTTTATTGCACAAATTTAATATGCCTTCTAAAAAATGTCACAATTCTTTTTATAAAAATATAGCATAAGTTTGACTTTTCTTTCTACATTTTATATGATATTTGAAAAAAAAAATCCTTAATTTGAATTATGCTATTTTTTAAAATTTTAAACTTTAATTTATATTTATTTTATGTTTTTATATAAATGCCTAAAAAAATTCTAACTAATTAAGCAGTAATAATAAATTATTTGAAAATTATAAGAGCGCTTAAAAAGCATGAAATATTAATCCATGATATTTCTAAAACACTTGTAACATATAGATTTATTCATTTTAATTTTAATTTTGTATTCTCAAAATATTTATTGTTACGTGCATACTTAGATTCCTTCACTCACTAAACTTTATTCATTTCATCTCATTTCTTTTCATCACAATGTTAGCATGACACTTTATTCACTAAACTTTTTGAAATATAGCTATAAGTTTGTATCAAATGGTTTCCATTATACATTAAATTTGTGATAAAATTTTACAAATAGGGATTAAACTGGTCACTTTTTAAAGCATAAGAATCAAAATGGACGTTTTTTTTATATACGTGAGTGTTCGGATCAGCTCACGCGCACATCGACTAATCTCACGGGACAACCACATGACCCTATAATATTTTGTGCTAGGAAAAGAAGTATTTAAACCTAAAACATAAGACGGAAGAATACGATTAGTTTGTAATAAATCAACATCCACCCACACATGTATAATAAACTACCTATAGTTTTAAGTTGTAGCTCTAGAGTTAGTATAGGCCTAGAATATGATATGTTTAAAGTAAGGAGTAAGGAGTAAGATTTTTCTGTTTGGAAAATAAATTAAAAGAAATGAGAGAAAGAAAAAAAGAAAAAAAGAAAAAGAAAAAGAAAAAAAGAAGGAACAACTTTTACTACTTTAAGGGAAAAGGAAGAAAAAATAAAGAAAAAGAAAAAGGCGATAACATAACATAAGAAGAAGAAGACGAAGAAGAAGAAGAAGAAGAAGAAGATGATGGAGAAGAGAACCCATTAACCCAACACCAACACTCGCTCAAAAAAAAAACACAGCTTTTTCCTCTCTTTACGCGCATTATTCAACTCTCTCTCTCTCTCTCTCTCTCTCTCTCTCTCTCGTTTTCATGTGTCGCTCTCGTCTCTGAAAAGACAAAACCGTGGATCTATGAATCTCCCTCTTACCCTCTCAATCTCAATCCCAATCTCAATCTCTCTCCCCCTTTCTCACCCTTGTTCCAATTCCTTCCATTGAGAAACGATTAGGGTTCCAATTTCTGGTTTTCGTTTGTTTTCTCTCATCGCGTAGATCTGTTCCCTTTATTTCCTCATCCCCTGCAACCCCATCTCTGTTTTTGCTCTTCCCTTTTGATTTCAGCCTTCCTCATCTGCTCTTTCCCCTCAATTTCTGCCATTTTTCTCTCTGTGGGTGTCTTTAATAATGTCGTCCTTGCGCCTAGATCTGACATCTAAGATCTACCCGGAACCTGACTCCATCTTCTCCTTTAATTCTGCCTCAATCGACCACTTTGATCGTCTTCCTGATTCCCTTCTCCTCCTTATATTCAACAAGATCGGAGACGTGAAAGCCCTCGGTCGCTGCTGCGTTGTTTCTCGGAGATTCCACTGCCTCGTGCCTCAAGTGGAGAACGTTGTTGTGCGCGTGGATTGTGTTATCTCCGATGATGATTCGTCTTCTTCCTCTTCCTCCTCTGGTAAATCTCGTGGCCCTTTTTTTAATATTTTCCGGTTCGTATTTGGCGGCATTGTCAAGCCCCTCCAAGCGTTAGGCCAGTTTTTGGGTCAGACACGCGTGTCGTCCAGTTTGGCATCCTCTTCCTCTCCCTCGTCTCTCGCGGTTGGGAGCGAAGAGGATGGCGAAATTGATCAAGGTGGCGTTACCCATCACTCCCCAACCCAAGTTTTGAAGAATTTCAACGAGATTCGTTTCCTTCGGATCGAGCTTCCGAGCGGGGAATTGGGTATAGATGATGGGGTATTGTTGAAATGGCGAGCCGATTTCGGATCCACTTTGGACAATTGTGTGATTTTGGGTGCTTCTTCGGTGATGCACTCCGGCTCCATCAAGCCTTCACTTGCCCAAGATAATGGGGCTGATGGGTTCTGTATTGCCAATGGTGCCGCAGTCGATGATAATGGAAGTATTCCCGAATCCTTTTACACAAATGGAGGTCTAAAATTGAGAGTAGTATGGACGATTAGCTCGCTTATTGCGGCTTCTGCGAGGCACTATCTGCTGCAACCAATAATAGCGGATCACAAGACTTTGGATAGTTTGGTTCTAACTGATGCGGACGGACAGGGGGTGCTGTGTATGAATAAAGATCAACTTGAGGAGTTGAGGGTGAAGCCGTTGTCTGCTTCTTCGGCATCGAAGAGAACCCTTGTACCGGCTCTGAACATGAGACTTTGGTATGCCACACACTTAGAATTGCCTAATGGCTTGATATTGAAGGGTGCTACACTGGTCGCTATCCGGCCCAGTGAGCAGTCTGCGGTGAAGAAGGATGTTTCTGATTGCTCTTGGGCTTCAACTGCTTTCGAGGAACCTTATAGGACTGCTGCAAAGATGTTAGTGAAGAGGAGAACGTACTGCCTTGAGATGAATTCTTTCTAAAAGGAAATTAGTAATTCGAGGTAAATTTTTAATCCATTCAAGTTTCTCCTAGTCTTTGATTCTTGCAATATATTGATTTAGATCTTTGTTATATTATATCTATGAACAACCGAATTTGTATGTAGTTGTGGTCTGTCGGCTGCTACCCCTGTGGTTTGTAGGATGCTCATTTGGATTCTTTTTTGGGGGAAATGAACCTTAGGAGTTAGGAGTTTGGAAATGAAAATTATTGTTGCATAGTTTCTTTCAGTTCATTATGGCCTGGGACAATATTTCATTGTTCGATTATATGAATGATTGGGGTGTTTCTTAACTGAACGTGATTGTAACTAGCTTCACTTCATATTGGTTCTCAAAAGCGGCTCACTATATATGTTTTTAGGATTACGTACTCTGAATGAGTTTATAATAATCCAACTTTATTTGCTTTCATGGTGTGCTTTTCAAAGTTTTACTTCCTCTTGTGGTTGTCTAGGCTGTTTTTAAGTCTTCAACAGTTTTTGGTTTGTAAATGTTGTTTGGATTTTCAGGTATAGAAGAACAATGGTAAAGAGAAAGGAAGAAACTGCATACCTTCAGAAAATGATAATCAGGAAGGAAGTTCTTATTGATTGGCGGCCTGACAAAAGTGGATGGCAACGAAACCAACTTCTGATTGGAGTGGCACAAACGAAAGAGGGGGAAAGAAAGAAAACGCATTCGTTGTTGGCATTATAATACAAATGGTTGACCCTTTTTTGGTAAAGGCGATCGTGGAAAATGCATCTGCTGGTTGTTTTTGTTACAGGCATTTGCTATTTGGAGTGCAGGCAAACAGCTAGAATGATGTTGTAAAAGCTTTGAGTTTTTAGTCCCTTTAACTTCTGTCCTTCCTGTATATGTGAATACTGTAGGTGAGACTTCATATTATGATCTCATGTGATATAGTTTGAAGTTTATAAATGTAAGCCTTTGTTAAATCTAGTTGAATAATTGTCATTGTGGCTGCAAGCGTCTGACTGAACCATGAGAGAGTGCAAAAACAGAAGAGAAGATAGGATGGCTAATTCTGCCCGCCTTTTTTATGAAACATAATGTGGGAAAGGAAAGAAAAACCAAATGGGAAGTGGGGAAAAAGGCTCTATTATTATTGTGGGCAACATGCTTTTTATGTACACTCTGAGAACATATTATGCAAAACAGTGGAAGTGTACTCTGTTATTTCTATTATTGTGCAATGCAACTTAGAATGATTGATTATACATGTAGAATGTGAGTGGGACATGGAATGGATATTGGCAGAATATGAGAAGCTGAGTTGTAAGAGCCAAATTCTTCGATAAGGCTAAAGCTTTCATTGCCCAGGTTTGGAAAATGAATGGTGACACTCAGAAACTGGCCTTAGTGTTTCTGTGAGGGGCCTTATCTTGTTTATGATATGTCTACTGTGTCCTATGCGCCATTGTTTTTTTTTTCTTTTTCACTGTTGAGAGTGAAGGAAGAGGAACATCTTTTTTGTTTGGTAGGTCAGGTGTGTCCATGGCTTATCCGCTGCTACTTTCCAACTTGACTCTTGAAAGACTAGTTTATTTTCATCTTGTTCATGATTGTGTATCATGTCTTTGCTTTGTAGAAAATGAGTTGGAACGTCTCGACCGCAACTCGAATGATTGAAGAAGATAAACTAGGCTGGCCGGCCATTAGGTGGAGATGTGGATTTTAGGCTTTCTTTTCAATTTTAATTGAATTTTCCTCTAGGTGTCCCTCGCTGATTCACATGGGATTCATGTGCCTCGTGCTACTCAGCATTGGATGAGAACAACGCTGCTTCGCTCGGTAGCTTGACACTTTTGTGGTCTCGTGTCGTTACCCTATTTTCACTGTTTATGTTCCTGTGCTCTCATTTTGCTTGTTCCTACTATGAGAATCACTTGCTTTTGTTTTCTCAGGTTATTAAGACAGTTTTAGTTTAATTTGAAAGGTTGACCAATAGGAGGCTTCCAAATACGCACTTGTTTTCAAAACCAAGTTGTCAAGTTATTTTTTTAATAAAAAAAAATGATAATATATAGTTTAACTAGTTCAACTATACTTGAGTTAGCTTCTATTTACAATATTTAAACCATTATAAGATGCACATGATATTTGCTTCCCTGTCATGGTTGGATATTATCCATGTCATTACTGGCTTAATAATGCAGGCTTAGCTGCCTAAATCTACAATACCAAATTTCCTCAATTCAACATCCTCTCCTTTGCCAATCTCTGAAGACAATTAATTGAAACTAATAATGATACTAATTAGTTTAATTAAAAGAAACAGCTGTTTGGCAGTTTTGTGGAGCTGTTTGTCACATGAAAACATCTTCTTAATCTTAGCTTTGTAGACTTGAGAATGCACGTGAAATAAAGTCTCTCAAAACTCAAAACACACGCCCTCTCCCTCTCCCTCTCCCTCTCCTTGACTTTTCAGCCACTATTACAAATCTCACCATCTTTCATTTTCTTATAGATTAATATTATTGCTACTAATCTGCCTCACCTGTTATTCTTATTTCATTTCCTGCCACAAAAATATATGATGCCATGTCCACCATTCTTTTGCTGCTACTTGCTTTCTGGTTTCTAATGCAATTAAACATCGGTTTACTTGTGGATTGCAGATTATATTATAACCACAAAAAAGACTGGAAGAAGATTTGAGATGATTTCCCAAGCTAATCTATGAAAGTTGTTATATTTGATGGGATGTCTCTCTCATCTTGGAATTGGAACATCTGTAAATGTAGATTGATCAAAGAATGAATTTGGTAAACAGTTTTGAGTTTGTAAAGTGGCATAGGAACAAACCAATTCTTATCTTATATTCATTCAAATCTTTGTTAATGAATGAAGTAAAAGCAAACTGGACATAAAACTAGCTCACAGGTTGTTGGTACTGATTTTCTACACCAGAAACATGCATTACTTGTGGAAGATATTACATAAACACATGAAAAACATAAATAAGAATAAATGCGAGCTGAAGAAGGAATTCAAAATGGATAAAGCAAAGAGAAAGCAAGTGTTTCAGAAGCATAAAAATGTATAGACCGAACATGGAGGGCAGTAGAAAGTTGTAGTTCACTCACCATGGAAAACGACATCCACTGAAATCCATAAGAAAGCTGGTTTCTGGGTATTGCTGCATGTTCTAAGGTTTAATTAGATTTGTTTGATTCCCTCCCACATGACTCATATAGCCTTAATTTTTTGAAGCCCAGTAGCCCATTGGGTCTTCAACCACACAAATGACCGAGCAGTGTCAAATTTTCACACTCCAAACAAACAAACAAAAGACCATAAATCAAAGGATCGATCCTTCACAAACTTTACCAAAATCTAGAAAATTTTTAGCAAGCCGTCTCATTTTACTGTTAGTCAATCAATAATATACTGTTATAGTTAATCGATTCACTACAATCAATGATTGATACACTACTATCCATCATCAACTAACTGTTGTCTTTAATTGAATTGCTAATCGGAATTAAAATAATCTCTACATTTAAAATAAATAGTGACTTTGATTCAGATGTCGTAATCTTTAATTCATGTTGATGAATTGATGATTTGCGCAAAGTCAGGCGCCTATAGATGTAAATATTTTTTGACTTGAGAACTATATTTGGTTGATGATAAAAATCCTCAAAGTATAATAATAATAACAATAAAGAAATAATATGTTACTTTTTTCAAGTATAATGTTTTCTTAAGTAACAGAATAAAGTTAGAACCAGCAACTGGGTATTAATGGTATTGTTAGAACAATCTCCACTATGGACAATGGTTCCCTCTACCATCTTCCAGTAGTTTTCTTTTTCTTTATTAAAAAAGTAAAGTTACATAGAGAGGAGTTTAGATCTTATTTTCCTGAAAAGAATTTCTTTCCAATATAAAATCACTTCTAGCAATGAGTTCTCCCCTTCACCTAAAAATATGTTCCTATACTTTTCTTGTCTGGATTCTGATTTGCAATTAATGTACTCTATTGACCAAAAATGAGATAGTACTCTTATCAGAAAAAAGAAAAAAAAAAGGACAGTACTTATAATCTCATTCATATAACATACGATCAAATCAGATTAAACTGTAAGATTAAAAGAGGAAACAGTATAGAGTGGCTCGAAAGCATGATCTTCTATTCTAAGCAAATTGTAGATGTACTTTATATTTCTAATTCTTTCAAGAAGATGCTTGTGTTTATTAATTTTCATTTGATTTCGAACTGGTAAAGAATACTATTTAAAGGTCATTAAAACTCTAACATCCAAAAAAACACTTAAAAACTTAGAAGATATCCAACATTCTAAGGTAATGATCACAAATAGGATAGCAATTACAACATTGAAACACTTTTTGAGACTGGTAAGTGTGACACTTTTTCTTTAAGTACTATTTGAAAAAAAGAAAAAACAAAAAAACTAACCAAGTACTTTTAAATGTTTTTTAAAAAATTTCTTTGCGTCCAAGAAACAATAAAAACTTTTAAGTGTTTTGGTCTTGTCAGTATGCTCAGAAGATCTGGCTTCGTTTCTTCGACTGTTTTGGGTAGAGCTAG